GGGAATATGTCCAGGAATTCAGATGCATCCTCAGCCTTGTTCAGAAGAAGAAGAAACTCCCTGAAGACTATATCAACAAGGAATTCCTAGAGGGGTTTCCCCTGAGGTTCTGGAATTCTTTGCTCACACAATTGCAACTTTCTGACCCAGACCACAATATTGATGAGCCATGGAAATTTGATACAGTTTACAAACACACCAACTATCTCCTCAGTGGAGCCAAACAGAACTTCCCTCAGCCAGACTTGTTGGCACTGTTTCCTCAGAATTCTGCACTAACTTCCTCATTGATTGTTCTGACTATCTTGAAATGGGAGTATGTCCAGGTTACTCAACAACTGGTCCACCTCACTTCCTCAACAAGGTCAAGAAGGTCAATTCCACTGTTCTTTTGATCCACAGTGTTTCTTTTGTGGGGGGACTGATGGCCACCATACTGCAGAGTGCACCCTGTGCCACAAATACATACAAGCAGGGAAATGCTCCCTGATTGGGGGAAGAGTTTTTATGCCAGATGGCTCTGACATCCCCAGGACAGCAGCTGGCAGGAATTTTAAAGAAAAGACTGACAACTTCCTCACCATGTGCAACTTGATCATCACTTCAGCAATCCTTTTCTCTGTGCAGCATTCCAGCCAGCTATTGACCTCATCTCATGGACATGATACTCCTCCCCATCTCATCAGCACAATGTTCTTCAGCAATGAGGAAGCCTCAGAATTTCAAAATTTCAAGTCAACCCACACCCTTCCTCCTACCTAGTTGACAAAGATCTAGAGGAGAATGCCAATGAAGAGGACCAATGTGCTTAGCAAGAGCCTATGTGCAGGTAGAAGAGTTGAAGAATGCCATCAAGAAGAAGAGGACAGCTTGTTTTGACAGCATAGAAATCCCAGCCCATTGCCAAAGATCTCCAGTAGCAGTCCCCATGCCATCCAATGTGCCAGCTGTCTCTAACCCAGTTGGCAATTCCATGCCAGCTGATTCTGCTTCTTCCTCAGAAGCTCCAGTGGTTGGAAAAATTCCAGTTGCTCCTAACCCCATGGATCTCCAGAAACTTAAACCCACTACAAATTCCATGCCCCAATTCCATTACCAAAGCAGCTTGGATGAGGCTGCAGTGACCAAGTGGATTGTAAACCAGGTCTTAGATGTGAAGATGGAAATCTCCACTAAAGACCCTTCTAGCTGTCAGTCCAGAGATTCACAAGCAGGTCAGGGAACTGACTGTGATGAAGAAGATAATGATTGGGAGTTTAGAAACTGCATCAGATGTGACTCCCTCAGCTGCCTGGGCATCCTACAAGGAGTATTGGGTCAGGGACACCAAAGGGAAGTGCATGGGCCTTGCTATGGCTCCTTTGCATGCTGTTGACAGAATCTTGATGGACAAACTTCATGTTGAATGTATACTGGACAGTGGATGCCAAGTAGTGGCCTTGTGACAGGAGTTGTGGGAAGCCTTAGAGGCCCCTCTTCATACTGACATGACCATGACACTCAAAGCCACTAACCAATCCAAAGAAAGCACCCTTGGGGTCATAGAGAATACCATCTTGTGCATAGGGAATGTTGAAGCCCATCTCCGAATCAAAGTCATTGATTGCATGCCCTTTGACTTACTGCTCAGTCAACCCTTCTTCTGCCTACTCTCCAGCATCCTTCATGATTTCCCTGATGGTGAACAGTCTCTAGAAATCTGTGACCCTAATTCCAGGAAACAGGTTTCAGTTCCAATGTGTCCTTGCAACAGACTACAGCCCCTTCTACAATTTGTAAATTCCAAAGACAAAGAAGACTTCTTTGCATGAAAACAAATGCATTGCCACATGAATCCATCCAAACAGGGTTGTTAGTATTGGTTGGGGACTTGTATGAATTGCAATGAGATGTCATAACCATGTCTTGACCCTGGCTGGACTTGGCCTTGCATTCATTCAGTCCAGCCTTGGCCTCATCAATCCCTTATCCCCAGATGTCCTAGCATGGTGAACACTGCTGTGCAGTGCTTGTCACTTCAGTTAAACCCTCCCTGGTCTTGTCCCTGGTTTTCCCTGTCCTGGTCTCCATTACCTTAGTCATCCCTTACTAATACTAGTCTTACCAATCACCTTAGCAATCACCTTGTTTACAAGGTCACTCCAGCCTGAAATCAGTAATGTTTGTTTGGTCTGCCATGATTATCATATTTTGGGCCTCAGCATGGTACTCCACAGCTCCACCAATCCGAAGTATCACCATGGGCAACCTCGCAACATGCACACCCACTCATCTTGCAGCAATGCCTGAGCCTCTTTCTGACTTCAATCTTTGAGGCAATGTGTTGATGGTGAGCAAAGCCACACCCTGTTTGGGGCTCTCACATTTCCACATCTTATTGCAGGTCACATTGTCAGCCCCCCTTATGCATGATGAGAGGGGCCCCCCCTCTGCAAGTCAGTGTGTATTTGTTCTTCTCTGCAGCCCACCTGATTGCAAAATTCCTCCCACCATGAACAGTATTTCCCATGCAAGCCCACCATTTCACATCTGGGCATTCATCATTGGATTGTGCTCTGGCCCTCTAGCCATTAGTGTTAATGCATGCACCCAGTGCCATGTGGAAATCATTGATGTGCATAACCTCTTTCCCCCTGATTCCATGATTGACTCAACACTTGTCTGTGTAGAGGATGACATCTATGTCATCTACTTTGATTGGCTGCACCATGTGGAGGACCATGACAATGCCATGTACATATATGTCCATGTGGCAGATAATGGCTGTGCCCTCAGTATTTGTCCTGAGGATGAGATTGCAAATTTGTTGGAGGTGTTGGACATGTAAGCATCCCTCTTCAGGTTTGGACACATAGGCTCATGTTCAATGTAGCATGAACTGGCAATATCCAGCTGTCATGGCATCAGAGACTCTGTAGTTGTGGGTAAGGTGCAAAGGCAGTATGGCAACTTTGGCCATGGTTGACACCATTGATGGCATCAAGACACTTGGGGGGCCAAGGATAACTGGGAGAATGGAATTTTACTGGTGTATTATGTTCACTCTTTCCTTTTGAATTGACTACATTGCACATGGAGATTGGCCATCAAACCATATACCCTAAGGCTCTCTGTGCAGTATGTGTTCCTCTGATGGCAGTTTGACAAACCCAGTGTGCACATTGGGCCTCCACTGGCACAAAATTTGGCCTGCCATGACTGCCACATGCATGACTGCTGTCACAATGTGTGCTGTGCTCACCCTGGCCCTATCACATCTGATCCACTGCATTTATCAGAAACAGCATACAGTGGAAGCCAGCCCCCCATTGATGGGCAATATAATGGTTATCAGTGGCATACTTTTTGCACCATTCTGACCCCTAAAGTGAGCACATGTTCAGCCCCTCTATGCTCCTATGCCAATCTCCTATTAGGTTGGGATACAAAAGCATGCATTGCATGTGAGGGGCAAGTGTATTTGATGTCCACTGCCATCAACTTCATGGCCCCCCAGTGGGGCACAACACCTTCATATCTGGATATCATCAACAAGGTTCTTGGGCACTGTGATCTTCTTGGCATGTTCAACCTTGTGTCCACTTGTCAAGCTCATGTGGAGGTGGCACAGCAACATCTCAAGACTCACATCTGAAACATGGGGAGGGGTTTTTTCACCAACCCAATTGTCCTGTGTGACATCTTGTGCACCTGTGATGGTGTTGTTTCAGGATCTATGGCCTTGCATCTTTTATTGCCTGCCAGCTATACATATTCTACTTTGTGGCTTCCTACTGACCTAGACATCTATGTTCCCTTTCAGTCAGAGAACCTCATAGCCCATCTTCTGGTTGGTCTGGGATATCATCTGCATGAGCCTGCTTCTGTTGATGTGGCTGGGTATGCAGGGACCTCCATCTATTCAGTACATGCTTTCTCAAAGGGTCACTACAAGATTGATGTCATCATCTCAGTGAATGCTGCCTCCATCACACCTGTTTTCCAGTTTCACACCACTGCTGTCATGAACTTTGTCTCTGCAGATTGCATATTCTGCACTTATCCTGCTCTTACAATGTGGGTGTGCTCTCATGTCAATCCCATGCTCCTCTATAACAGTGGACTGCACTGCAAGGCCATTGCCCCACTGCAGAAATACATGTCACATGGTTTCACATTCAAACCATGTGTCAAGTCTCATAGGTTCAGGTATGCATGTCACAACAAGACTCACACTGTGACAGATGGAGGCTGTATGTGGGTTGATCCAGAGACATTTCCACATGTCACTGTGACACAGCCAGAATTTTTCAGCCATCTGGGCATCCTGGACCTACACTGGATGTTGGGGGGCATGGTCTGTGGGATGGACACCACATTCCAATGACCATGCATGCTTGTGATCAATGATGAGTCATAAGTCTGCTCACAAATCTTCAACCTTGTCTCATTGTCTTTGCCCCAGTGGTTTGCTTATTGTAAGAAGGAGTGCCCTTGTAGAAGTTGAAGAGGAGTCTGACTGAGAATTTTTCTCACTCAAGAGAAACAAACAATGATGGAATTGTATGTAGGGCAACTGCAATGTAGTGGATGTACTCAGGCTTTTACATGCATTGTTGCCCATCACTGTATGGATGTATGTTGCATTGACAGATATTATATTAAATGATCTGCATCAAGAGTGCCTCAATTCAATTTTACACACTGTACAACATCATGCCTTTCTGTTTACTGCAATATTCGATGTTACACATCATCTTCCTTTATGCTACTTACATCTGTAGGCAGTCATCATTAGGGGGTGATGGCATGGATTGCTGTGATCAACACACCCTGCATGCATTTTTTGATGGCCTGTTGCCCAAACTACTGATGCCACTCTCACCAATCCCATGCCCTTACTTCAGTGGATTCACAGGAGCAGCAACTGGCTCTCACAGGATGACCATGTTGCAAACAACAGCCATGAAGACAGACTTCTTGTCCCCACCAGTTGAGTAGTGAATCAGTGCAAAGTGCACTCAAATGATGGTGCTGGAGAGCTTGAGAGTGTAATCTGATGGGTCAATACTCTCACCATCAAGATCAAAGACTGGAAGAGGAGAGATATTGTGTGTCTTGGCTGCATGTGCCAGTGCCCCTTTCAGGTGCTCCTGCACTGGCCAGTCTGTCATCCTCATCTCTGTTGACAGCATCAGCATCAGCCTTGCCCACTGGTCACCTCAACCCACCATCATCAATGGCTGTTTCAGGGTCAGTGTCCATGTTTTTGGTCTGGTATTTGGGCTCAGTGTTGTTGTCTCCAGTGAGACAAACAGGCATACTACAAAAGGCATGTGATTCAGGCAAATGCAAACCTGGCTGTGGGCTTCCTGCACACATGAGAGTATGGTCTCACCCTTTTGTGATGGAATGAGCTTCTCTAAGGCTCGCAAGTTAGCCATGACTGCTAGGAAGTCATGTTGGCTTGCACCATATACAGAATCATGCCAAATGGTGATTAGATTGCACAACAGCTTCATGTCAACAATCTCCTTGTTGAATGCATTTGATGGAAAAAAGCCCCCCTCAGGTCCCATAAAAAAGCCCTGATGGTCGATTTCAAAGATGCCACTGAGTATCATCTTGACAATGTCATCCCCACTCCCTTTAATGACTGCTACATCACTGGATGGGCCCCCCATAAAAAATTCACCTCAACTCGTGATATTTGGTGTGGCTGTGTAAAATGCCACATTGCTCTGCTTCAGATCTTCTACAATTTTGGCTAGTGCTGGGGGCATGCTGCTCTCTGTGGAATTTGTCATGTCATCTACTGCATTTGAATCCAAGGCTGCATTGACAGTGGCCATCTTGGCCTGCCCTTGGGCTCTATTGGTAGGTTCTGCACTGGATGTCATGATCATTGTCTGTAAGAGATGCTTGGCAGGTACCCTAAAGGTGTGAGGGCACATTTGAACTGTTTCTTTTAAAGGGAGGCATGGAATGTCAAACTCCAAGGGGCATTTGGGGAAAGGGGATGGAGTGATGTATAAAACAGGTGGTAAATCTGTCCTTAGCAAGTCTGAGCACAAATGCCTGAGCTGTGGGGACACCTCACTCACCAAGAAGTACTCAAGGCCATTCCCTCTGGTACATTGTCACCAAAGTTGAGGAAGTGGGCCAATCTTGGTCCTGCAATCCTTCTGCTTCCCAAGGATGTCCAAGAGCACATTCATCTGGCAGCAGCTGCCAAAGACAACACTGCATTGAAGCGCAAATGGGAAGCCAATGCCAAGTGGCAGGTGTAGTTCAGAGCAAAATGTCCAAGACAGGGGGAACCCTCTGTGCTGAAGGCAAGCATTATCAAACACAATGAAGTTGATCGTGTGGACATGCACCTGTATGTGCAATTGCCTACCATGCAAGAGACACAGAATTGCATTGTGAGGTTCATTGACATGACTGGCAATGATGCACTATGACATGCAACCTGCATCATCTGTGCTCAGGAAACCATGGGAAAGGATGGAGAGATGTGAATTGTGATAGACATACCCAACATACAACAACATTTATGTCCACAGAAAGCCCATCTGGCTCACTTGCTATGGTGTGGTCTTCTAATATTGGGGGCACATGTGGATGATGCTGGCCATGGGTGGGCATGTCATGATTGCCTCAGGGCCTTGCATGCAAACTGCTTACCATGTCTGGCCCTCAACAACAACCTATGGCTTGGGGAGCCACCTCTCATTCTGTGCAGGCTGACATTTTTAGAGACTCTCCTCATTGCATGTCACTATCCTTGTTGCTATGTGTTCAAGTTATACCCAAGGGATGGATCACACTCCTTCAACCCTAGACATCTGCAGTGGGCAATGGCTGGTAATGTGATGCTATATGAAATCAACAGTTCAGCTATTGCAGACATGGTGCAGGGATGTATGTTACCTCACACTGTGTGCTCTATGAGCAACATTCTTGCAATCACTTTTGTGGGCACCAAATGGCTACCAACAAACTGGCTATACCTCACCTTCCATGTCCATCAAGACACAATACATGAAGCACTGCAATGGTTGCATGAAAACAATAACATCTATGGCAACATCAATATTTCTGAGCAACATATTAATGAACTTCCCAATGATGATGTACCTCCTGAAATTGAGGCCATGATTTGCCTAGATGACAATGAGCTCACCACTGTCCATGAGCAAGAAGGCTATGTGATGTCTGACAGGATTGATTGTGAGGGTATGTCCCCTCCAATGTCTTGTTGTAACAGTTGTCTTACCTATTGTGCTCCATATCTCAGACATGTCACCTGAGACTGCTGACTTAATGGTGGGGGACGATGATGCTGAGGTGATACTGGATGATGGCATCAATGGAATCAACAATGGTGGTAAGTGTTCATGTATCCTGCCAATGGTTTGAGCAGTCATCAATGTGGTTGGTTAGGAGACATCTTACCTCTGCATGTACTTGCTGTAAGCAATACAGACCTCACAAAGATGTCATCTTCGGAGCTAATGGCACATGCTCTGGCCAACCTGAATGATTCAATGCAAGAGGGTGGTTGTGTCATGCACCATGGTACCACTCCTATCATGGATTTCAGGTCTGATGCTGCAAAGAATGGGTGTCCCAATCCACTTTCAGCTGCTTTCCCCACCCTCTTTCCATATGGAATCAGGGGGATTGAGGATGATCAGTTGACAAAGTTGAGCCTGTGTGAACATTGTCAATGGGCATTGCAATATCATGACAAACAGTTTGCTACTCACCACTCATTCCCATTTTTCGTGTTCACTCTCATTCAAAAGCAGGATGTGATGCACTCAGTGTGCCTTCAGATGCAATGAAAGGACTTTGAACAGGATGCATTGGCAATGTCTTTGATCACTGCCAATGACCTCAAAAAGGCAGAAGTCAAAGAGGCTAGACATCAATGCATAACAAACACATGAGTCTGTGCACTACACCATCATGTGACAGCTGCCAATGGCCATGTCAAGGGCTCAGACAATGCTTGCACACAATACCATGGTATGATTTGGGGAATGTGTCTTGTGTTCAGTGGGCCATCACTGTGGCTAATGATCAACCCTGTTGATATTCATAATCCCATTGTCCAGGTGTTTGCAGGCAAAGAGATTGATATGGACAACTTTAACTCCTCTCTGGGGCCTGAGAGTAACTGCCATGCAGAGAATGTGCTTCAAATCCATATTCTGCAGCTCTTTTTTTCAACTTTATTATCCACCAAGTGTTGGATACTCTGTTTGGGATACAGAAGAGGGGTAGTCAGACAACTAGTCACATTGGGGTCCTTGGATGTCTCAGTGCATATTTTGGCATGGTAGAGGTGCAGGGCAGAGGTTTGCTTCATGTCCACATGCTCTTATGGCTGGCTCACACCCTGAACATGAACAAGATGCAGGCCTTGTTGCAACAGGAGTCTTTTCATGAACAGATTCACTCATACATCTCAACCAATATCCATGCCCACCTCAATGACCTCACACCAAATGACATTGTCAATATGCCCAGGGATCCTCAACTTGTGTACTCTCACCCCCCCTGACCAGTGTGTTTCAGCCTGGTCAGTCATCAATTGTCAATTCAAACACTGGCTAGTCAGATCCCTGCAACTTCATTCTTGCTCTAGAGTGACATGTCTGTGCATGCACAATGGTGAACTCCTTTGCAAGAGAAGAGCACCCTGGCCTTTAAATGCCCAAGACTTCATCAATGAGCAAGGAAACTGGGGTCCAAGGTGGATGCATGGTGACATCGATGTGTATTGCCCAATGTTGTTAACAGTGATGCATTGCATCAATGACTTGAAAATCAACACCAATGGCACTGATATGAAGGATGTTGGGTTTTACATCACTGCCTATGTGATGAAAAAGCAAAAGAAGTTGCACAACTTGTCTGCATTGATGGCATCAACACTACCATATCACCATGAGAATCCTTGATACAATGATGTGTGAGAATGCAACTGCTTACTACTGTACCACTGCATCAATGTGATCAATTGAGAGATGGAGTTGTCAGGACCACAGGTGATGTTGTATCTCATGGGCTTTGGTGACAACTTCACATCTCACAACTACACTGCCTTGTACACTGGTGATTTATTCTCCTCTGTCAAAACTATGTTTCCTGAGCTTTGCACATTGAGCTCTGGCATGTAAGTTCATTGAGCTGTTGGACATTGGGCACCATCCTGACCACATTCATAGAGTCGGTCAAAACATCAATAGGTCCAGTGATGACACTAGTGATGACAATGATGTCATTACCCTTGGCTCAACCCCTGCTGGTGTTCTGTTTCCTTGCTTGCAAGTGCAGGACTATGTCTTTTGCAGGCCAGAGTTGGAGGACTTCTGTCTTTTGGTGTTCATCATGGATATGTGGGAGGAGCATTATACACCATCTCAGGCCTGCCCACCCACACCTTCTGTGCCCATACATGGCTGGCCTGTGCATCTGCATTTGTACTATTCAGAGCAGCATCCAAAGTGGAAGTCACACCATTGTGTCTGTTGTGCCAGTGAACACAACACATTGCCTCATCTGATTGGACCCTGGTTTCCCTGTGCCAACAATGACAGCATTCATGATTATTTTCTGGCATGTATTTTGGCATTGTTGAAACCATGGCATCAGGCCTCTGACCTCAAGAACAATTTGGCATTGTGGACTGACACATTCAAGGAGTTCAATGACAAAATGGAACCTTGGCACAGATGTGTGGTTGCAGGGATACAATACTATTATGAGTCAAAGACTGCATGCAAATCCTCCCCCTCTGATCACAATGCTGGGCCAAGATCACAGGGCTTCCCAGAGGCCAAACAGCCCAGTGAGTTGGATTGCATTGGTGAATGGGATAGTCATGAGAGTCTTACACTGACAGAGGAGGACCTCAAGAACTTCTGGAGAGAACAAACATCTGCTCATGAACAGAAACACATGATGGAGGTGATCGACATTGGCACATGCAAAGGAGTGTTCTCTATCAACATGTCTCTCTCTTGCAAACATTTCGGATTGCTTCTGTGCAAGACCAGGAGCTGCTCATTCTGTGGCAAAGGGAAATGGAGGTGATGGTTGCCAAACCTGGGGTGACATCACTCACCTTGCCATCTGATCCTCAGAGAGATGTTGGCAGTGTGGATGCCAATGATGGAATGCTCCTCAGTGATAGTGGAGGTACATACTTGCTCACCCAACTCATTGAAGAATTGATGGTGCTGTGGCTGGCTGACCTGGACAATCTATTGCGAGACCAATGTCATGTGTATGACATCATAAACTGGCAC